ATAACACCTTTTTGGGTGGGGTTTTTTTTGGGGGGGGGGGGGGTTTAACCATGTCCTTCAGTGCAATTCACCCATACTCTCATTCCTCTTCTTTGGCTGCCCAATGTCTTTCACAATCCTAGCATCGTCCCTGACTGGAGAAGTAGAGCATGTTCACTTTGCAACATACATTTTTTACTTAACACTTTGCAGTGCATACCCGATCATGTGCAAGGAAAATTAGGTTTACATTGTTTTCAAAAAACACAGGACTTTTGCTTGCACATGTTTAGATGATTGAACAGATCATCATAGATTCACTAAGCTAAAGCTGCCCATACACCTTACAATTATCTGCAGATTTTCTGTGGTCAGATGGAAAAGGTGCAACAGATTCCTCCATCTACACTTAACTGTGTGGATGGAGGAATCTCCACCTGGGCCAATCTGTTGCACTTTTTCCATCTGACCACAGAAAATCTGCAGATAATTGTAAGGTGTATGGGCACCTTAAGTTGACAATTCACTCAAAGAAAATAACAGGATTTTTGCTCACACATGATTTGATAATTAAAATAAGCACCACTTTACTTCATTCACTATTTTCCTTGTACATGATTAGGTGAATATTCACTTAGTTGTATCTCACTTATTAAGCCAAGGGAAATTCACCTTGCAAAGTGAACATGTGCTATTCCTTCAATAAAATGTCAAGCAGTGTGTTAACAGCATACAAGTGTACAAACTGGAAAATTTAGGCAGGGTGTTTTTTTTTACCTTAATGTATTCTCTGCATCAAGGTAAAAAACACCCAATACCTTTTTGACTCCCCCATCCTCTCTGAAACGTACCTGTCAACGCCACTTGTCACCGCTGCACGTCCCCAAACTGATGCTCCGTCCCTGGTTGCGGGGGAGGATACTGAGGGCCGAGGAGCCGTAGGCTCCTTCTGCTGTCAAACTGTTCGTCGGAGAGGAGGGGCATGGCCTGCCGCAGGGATGTGTATGTGTGTGCCACACACACACACGGGGCGCCCCCATACAGGGGGCGAGGGGAAACAGGATGTGGGGACCAACAGGGAATTGAGAAATAAAAAAAAAAAAAGATCTGCAATATAGAGGCCTCCCACTGGTAAAGATTAAAGCTTTTTTATATCACTTTAAGAGATGAAGCCCATACATATGAAATACCTGCATGAAGAGGTGGCATTCTGTGACTAACTGTCCTTTGGTTATCTCCTTGAACTTGTCACACACATCTGGGAAGTTTTGGCTTTCCAATATGAAAGCTTGGTACTGTTTTATTAGTGTTAAGGCTACTCGAAAAATTATTTTCGATCCCTCGTAAAATAAACAGTCCCATATTCGGAGCACAGTCTGTAAAGTACAAGAACAATGATAATTCATTATACTTTTTTTACTACTTTTTAGCCATCTTAAAAATTGCAACTAGAAGCTGGTGGCATTCTGTAAGATCTTAGCAACTTCGTTCTGGGAGTGCCCAATCTCTATACACTTTAGAGTCACTGCAGCAAGGTTCAAAGTAAAATCCATCACAATACCCATTTGTACTGGAATATAGCTTTTGTCTTGAAGTCCTCTTGAAAACGAACAGTGCCTATGCCCTCCTGGGCAATCAGCCTCATAGCTGTATATCTTCAATGTTAGATGTAAGGCACTGTTGCCTCTAACTGCTAGTCTCAAGAGGTTTGCAGTGAGATTTAGTGATGTCCTCACGGGCAGGGCCCTCCTTAACATCTTGTCTTGAATTGTAATGTAATTGTAATGTCTACCTTATATTGTAAAGCGCTGCACAAACTGTTGGTGCTATATAAAAATTCGATATATTAATAATGTAACTATTGTGCTGCTCACTGTTCTCCTTGCTGGAGGCTCTGACATGAAGCAAAACCCTGCCTCTACCAAGATGTCAGACATTATATATATTTTTTTTAAGCACGGCTTTCACGGTTCCTCCTAAATTCAGTGATTGCATGGTCATGTCACTCACATGAGCAGAATAGTTACTTGTTTGTAAATGAAACCGAGAAACTCCCAAATACTTCCATAGCATGACAGGACAATAAGGACCTTGGCGTTTTCCCTTAAAGCTCAACTCCAGGGAAATTAAACGTTTTCCTTGCAGTGGGGCTGCCCTCGCAATGAAGGAGGTTAACTGCTGGTTTATGTGTAGGGGACATGAAAACCGCCTGATCTCCACTCCTGCTGGTTTCCTGTAGGCCATCAGACCGGTCCCCGCAGCCTCTTCTCCCCTTTCCTCCAGTGGTCTAAGGATTCCTTACTCCAGTAAGTGCATTATAGGCTCCATAGCTTTGCATTGTACATGAGAACACCACAGTACAGTCCACAGCCATAGGATAGTAGAGCATGAACCGCTGGGTATTAGCTACATGAAACAGCTTTTTCCTGTGCCCTAGGCATAAATGAGCCCTTGCAGTGAGGGGGGAAGGAAAAACTTTATTTCCCTGGAGTTGGGCTTTAAGATGAAAACATAATAAAAGGAATCCTGGCAGGAGAGAAATATGTGGGCAGCAACTCCTGATGATCGTTGTCTGACTCATGTTGATCCTTTGGGCTTAATGCTGAGTAACTAAACATGTAGGCACTTAAGTCAGAAGATCTGCATAATTGCTCCAGGTCAGCAATTCGAAGTATTGAAACCGCAGAATCAGCATGGCAGCCAGGCCACAGACATTTTCAGGAGCTCTGCAACTCAAACAGCAAATATTGTACATAAGCTATTTTGTACAAAGTTCATAAAGTTTCTACCATGGATCTTTTCACGTATGTTTACGGTGTCTTCTGTTTTTCATTCTTTTAATATATATATATATATATCAAATGTGGTCTGTAGTTTTCAGACAAACGGGGTTCTGGGAGTCATTTTGTAGATACTGAATACTTGCAGACTCACAAACCTAGGTGGAATCCTTGGATTCTATGGTTTTGTGGGGTTATTTTACACACTTATCTGATTGGGGGGGAAAAAATTTAAACACGAAAAGGAAGAAAATAACTAGCTATATGTAACAATGTCCAAAGACCAAACAAGCCGACTTACCTCTACCGGAAGAATGTCTATGAACAAGCAAATAAACCATCGGGAGACCACAAGAGTCCACATCACATCATGTTTCTCCATTAAATCAGCCACAGCTGGGATCTTCAATTTTACGAAATCTCCCAGGACCTCCTGGTCTACTTTAAGACCGATCATCGCAGGGCTGTAATAATCTAGTTGAAATAAACAAAATTCAACAATATAAAAGAAATGTGTCTAAATTATGCATTTATTAACATACATCCTATTATAGGAAAGTCACAATGCAGTTCCACAAGGAGACAGGCCAAATACATTATACAGGCCACAAATCTTCGAGAAAACCCCTAAATCAATCTCAACTCCAAACTTCAATCGTTCCCAACAGGATTTCTACTAGTTGTGATTCAGGACTGAAAGTCTAAGTGTACAAGAGGAACGCCTGACGAAAAAATAAATAAAATCTGTGCATGTCTAAGAGGAGCAGACAATTCCCCCTGACTTTTACTTTCATTTATAAAACAAAATCAGTGGCAATAAAACCTGTTATGTAAGACTATCTATAGATTCAGAATCTTGAAAACAGCTTGGGGTAATTGAAATATGATATAAAAGTATAAAGCGAAAAGACATTCTACTGTAAAATTCTTTTTCATTTTGTAAGAGAACAGGAAATACAAATTGAGGCATCTGTGAACAGGTTATGATTATTTATAATTCCACATCGGAGCGCATGCATATTCATTACCAACAGTATAGCAGAACCATTAACTCATGTTAACAAGCCTATTCAATGGCTGCAGTGAGTGTAATCAGAAAGGCAAAGAGATGACAGGAGCAGAATGTTTTCTGAAATATGCAGCCTTTTAAAATTACACATAAAGGGTATATATGGTCAAAAACTAAAAAAATATATGCATGTCTATACTGAATTTCCATATTATTATACAGGATTTATATTGCGCCAACAGTTTGTGCAGCGCTTTACAATATAAGGAAGACATTACAATACAATTCATGACAAGATGGTTGATTACAGCGTGACAGGATTTGACAAGTGTTTCCCGTTCCCTCAAGCATTTAATTTTTATCTTCTACTAGTAAACCAAGTCAGATTAGAAGATGTTCAGGAAAAGGCTTCATCCTGTCACCTTTGTCTTATCACAGGCCGGTGCAGATAAAAGTAAAATGTGATTTGCACATAGGATTCCTGTTCACTTTAAACAGAAAAAAAATAAAGATTTGTTTTGCCAGCAATTATCTGAAAATAGTAAAAACATACTGAAATAAACAAAGGAAACATAAAAGAATTAACTGCATTTGGTTCTTATGATGGTGCCAAATAAAAAGAGAGGCTCTGAGGGTCTACATTTTGCTATAGACTATGCTCTACAAGTGGGTGCCTTGGTACTTTTGATGGCTCTGCAAGGATAACAACGGTCTACATTCAGCTGCTATAGGCTATGCTCTACAAGTGGGTGCCCTGGTAAAGAAACACAGGAGCCTCCAATTGCTTCCTTCACTTCAAAAAGAAAGACCCACCACAGCCAAAGATCAAGGAGAGGCTCCCACTACTTCACACCATGCTGGGCCCCACAGCATCCAGCACAACCGCCCCAGAGCTGCACACTGGTGTGAATATATGAGGAAACAAAAAATATGAGATCTATATATATATATATAACTCCCCTTCCCCCACACTGAGCCACTATTACCTGGCTACGCCTCAGCCGGCTCAGTCCGGGTACTGACAAGATGCCCCGCCTCCTGCAGAGCCCACACTGTACTGAGAGCTGCGCATTCCTTGTGACAGCCGCTGCTTGAGTCAGTGAGAGGCAGCCCCGGAGCCTTCGTGCTGCTTCAATGACAGCCCAGCCTGCACGGCATCAGAGGGGCCCGGGGACCACCAAAATTTTCTCGTGGACCACCAGTTGGCGACCACTGCTCTAAGGGCTACAAGACTTGGGAACTGATTTACCGGCATAACTACCTTAACACACATCCCACCAGACTGCCCATATTAGCCAACAATAAACACTAAATGTGTGGCTTGTGCACACTGGGTATGTGCAGTAGGAATTGATGTGCATAATACAAAAAAAACGATAAACTTAGTTCAACTGCCCCAATCGTTTTTAATGCACTTGTTATATATAGTAGTAAGACCCAGCATGCGTCAGGCTTATTTAATAACATAATATATGCAAGGTGAAATAAACCAATGTAAATAGCATATTGTACTCGATCAAAATACAGAAAACCAATCTGGCTGCTATGGGTTACTGCGCTTTGCATAAAATCCTTTTTGAGTGAGCCCATATGACTGTATAAGATGTCACTGACACAAAGAACATGTTTACAATAATACTATACTTGCAAGGGATGTAACCTCTTTAAAATAGCCCACTGCAATGAAACGGTCTTTTCCATTAATGCGCTTATCACTGCGATCAACATGCGACCTTGCTCTATGTTACTTGGGGCTTAGGAACATGCTGCCAAAAATAATACCTTCACTTCCAATACTAGTAATCTACTTACTGCAATCTGCAGATCAGTAGTGCCCAGAAATACAATGCTAATCTTTAAATTCCTAATTTTCCTGTTGCCTACACTCTTCTCCTTAATGACATGCACCCAAGGGTCAAGAGTAGAACATTTACTGTAGCTTCTCACCTCACCAGCCTACAAGGATGTACTCCGTGCTCAATGCACAGTTGCATATGAATATTCACACTTGTTCAATCCAATTATTACAGCTGAACCATAAACCAGTGCTATATGCAATGACCATTAAAAGAAAAGATAAAAAAGGAATGCTTTACCCAAACCTGAAAATGGGACACAGCCTACCTGCATAGTGCACCAGGCCTCCTCCTCTGCTAAGCCCAGTGGTCACCAGTAACGTGGTTGCTTGGAACACCCTGTTCCCAAGCCTCGGAATATGCTGTCTAGAGAGTCCAAAGTTCCCTACTGAAATCTGGTATGTTGGATATACATTTATTTAATCTGCACGCCCATTCTAACTATACACTCCACTGAGAATTGGGAATGAAAATACAAATATTCAATTTAGTATGCTTTAAGCAGTCGGGCTGCACAGTATAAAATAGAAATATGGATGCCATCTTGCCGAGAGGCCTTATTAAAGCTTTGCTCAGTTTCATGATATGAAAATTATATTACGCTTGAATTTAAGTAGATGACAACTCTAAAATTAAATACATCTCAACTACTACTTAGATAGCGCTACTTAGGTATGCATATTTCATTCTAAATATGCACGTAAAACCTTTATTCTTTTCATTTTTATTCCAGTCACATGACCTCAGAGCAGTCCTTCTTTGTGTTTGAGTGGTTGGTGGGGACCAATAGTGCTCCTTCTTCACCAGAATAAGGCTGACAGGGAAGAACTGCAAGGCAGTAACTATGTAGGGCCTATGTGGACGGGTTCTGGGCTTGTGTTGATAGTATCAGCGTGACATCAGTTTGCGATGCTTCTGAGTTCATACATAAATTACTGACAAGTGTTTTATATTTTTGCAGTCGACCTGCTTGAAGTGGGGTTTGCACCCCCCATAGACTTGCATGGGAATGCAAAGCTCAATTTACACAAACAAACATTACTTAACTTGACTGAACAAGCCTAAAAAGAGACGGGGATGATTAAAATGTAGGCAATTCAAAGGGTTAGGCTAAAGTAAGGGGTCCAGCCAAGTGAGGGGGGATTTTTTGTCACAATCTCTATAAGAAAACCTACCAGTATCAAATATATATTTTACAAGAAACATATATACAGTATATTACCCAATATACCAGCTTTGCGTGACACTGAAAATGTCAATGTCTAGCTAGGCTGACAAGCCAACCACAACACAAAACATATCCGAAAACAATTTAAAAAAAAATCTTGTTTCTTTATTTGAATTCAATGGAACTGCAGTTACTAATAATATAGAAATGTAGAAAATGACTTCTAAAATCCAGGGCTTTGTTTTTCCAAACTGCCCTTGTACTGTTTCATAAAAAGCCTTGAAAAAAGGACAGCACATGATAAATGGAGCACTTCTCGCACAGAACACTGTGATAACAGGACTGTCTACAGTAACGTGACACACTCAAGGACAAGATAACATTTACGGAAACGTTCCATTCATGAGTTACTGTGGCTTTGACAAACTTTGGTTACAAATAAAAAAGTGTTCTTTCTTTTTTCTGTATTTCTAATATGTACTTTTCAAAGTCTTCGATTTACAAGAGAAACATAATAACTATCATGTGTTGTCAATGGCAACCACCATACTGTGAAAAAGGAGATATATAAACTGTGATTCAAATATTAAAGCGTAATTACTGCCCTAACTTTTTCTTTTTGCTGTCTAAGTTCCATTGGGGGTGTTTTCTCACTGCCCAATAACTGAAATTAAGACCAATCTCCCCAGCGTAGACAAAGGCAGCAATAAAACCTGAAAGGTTGTACTCTTACATACACTCTAAGCATGTCTGAATGCTGCATCTCCATTGTGCTGCAACCTTCAGTGAAACCGGATGACATATATACTGCCTGGCCATCATTTTCACACATGGATTGGCCATCACAGAGTCTAGACTTTAACCCCATTGAGAACCTTTGGGATGTGCTGGAGAAGACTTTACGCAGTAGTCCAACTCTTCCATCATCACTACAAGATCTTGGTGAAAAATGAATGCAGCTCTGGCCAGAAATAAAATGTTGTGACTAGGAGGTGCGCCAAAATGAAAATTTCAAAAACAAAAATGCCAGGCTGAAACCGAAAATGTTTTTTATTTTAACTTTTTCAAAAAAAATATATTTTATTTTTATAAATTTTTTAATAAACTTTAATTTTTTTATATTTTATCAAATATTTTTATTTTACTTTTAGGGGCTTCGGGGAAATATTAGGGATCTAAACAGACCCCAGATATTTCCCTTTTTCTGTGTCCCCTGTTATAAATGAACAGGAATCCTCTATTAGTGTTCCTGTTCATTGATAACATGAGAACAGAGTGTGCTTACTATAACCACAATCATGAATGAACAGAAGGTGATGTAGATCACTTCCCATTCATTCATAATTGAGGATATAGTCAACATGTCCTCAATTATTTACAAACACTCAGTGATCACTGAGGGTTTGCACTTGTCTCCTTCCTGACACACTCTCCTCTGATC